ATTTCCATTAAAAATTAATTTACCAGTTTTGTTACAGTATTAATAACATGTTAGCTGACCATAAGCAATAACATAAATACAAGTGCATGACGTTACATTTATTATGGTATAAAATCTGGGTTGGGGGCATGAGGATTTGGCGAACAACAAAGGAGGCATCATGCAAAGAAATCTGATGAAACCGTTTGGTCACATTCAGTTGTTAATGTCAGCATTTCGCAGACATGAACTCCACAGACCACATACCAGTCCGCCAAAAAAGGTGTATGGCGACTGGCTATGGGCTGAATGACTCAGGGGTCAGTGTTCGAGTCCCGGCAGGGTCAAGAATTTTCTATTCTCCGAGTCGTCTAGACTGGCTCTGGGGCCCAACCGACCTCCTATCCAATGGGTACCGAGGGCCCTTTCCCCGGGGGTAAAGCGGCTCATGCGTGAAGCTGACCACTCACCTCCAACTATTACCGAGGCCAATGGATATATACATCCACTCTAGCATACGCCTTCATGGCGTATTTACATTGTTCAATCTATAAACCATACATAATAAACAGAACCTTGCATTTATATATGGAACAGTGTAACTACTTTTAGAATAACTACAAAGAACTTCTCGTCTAAGTAAAACCTCTGTCAATCATATATCTTCTACTTTTCCCTACCCATTGCGTTATCTGTACGTAAACTTCCTGCACATACTAAGCAACCTGAAATCACATATTACACTTACACCATCTACATATCAAGAGATCTGATGCAGGAAAGATCTACACTTACAGCAGGGTGAGATTTCAAGCTTGAGAGGCTAAGACCTTTCATCGTTTGGAATAAACTAGCCTAATGCTCGTCAACCACAGTAAATCTTACACCTTAGAGAACAAAACAAGGATAAATATTAACTTCGACCCTCTAAACTGGACTCCAGGCAAAAGTAGTCGAGAAGATAAATTTATCAAGGATACCCAAGCTCAAAAATTATATCTTTTTAATTTTATACAAATAAATATTTACGAAAATATATTATTATTATAGAACTGTACTTATTTCTAAAGACTGAAAATATCACTACTGTAAAACATTTTCTAGACATTTGAGAATTAATTGCGATTGCTTTTGCCCTTACAGAAGAACCGGACAGCTCGGTTCATATGACGACTAGCTTACGATATGATCCGTGGTATCAGCTGAGAGGTCGAGAATTCGGGGTTCGATTCCAGACTACTCATTGGAGCCATGCCTCACCTTCCCCACGCCCCTTCATGGCATTGTGTTCAATTCATTAAGCACAAGAAGAACTATGCCTTTACATTCTATGTTTTCGAGATCGGATTCGTTCATTAAGGGTCACCTGGCAGCAGGAATGCAGTATTTGCCCAAAAGTTTCTCGAAAATATAGTCTCACTCATTCATGGAGCTGACCCTTCATGAGAAGCCACCAGCTGTGCAGCTACTCAAGAACTAACCAGCATTTTATGGAACCCGAAGGTGCATTACCGTGTTCACAAGAGCCATTGGTCCCTATCCTGAGCCAGATTAATCCAGTCCATACCATCCCATCCTATGTCTCTAAGGTCCACTTTAATGTTGTCCACACACCTACGCCTTGGTCTTCCCAGTGGTCTCTTTCCATTTGGCTTTCCCACCAATATCCTATATGCATTCCTCTTCTCACCCATTCGTGCTACATGCCCTGCCATCCTCATCCTCCATGATTTGATCACTCTAATTATATTTAGAGACTAGTACAAGTTATGAAGCTCCTCATTATGCAGTTTTGTCCAACCTTCCGTCACTTCAAATTAATCATTTAAATTATTGTCATTATTATTATTATTATTATTATTGTTATTATTATTGCAGGCTGGGGAATAGAACTATGATCGTACCAGCTTAAAGAATGAAAAAGACTGAAAATGTAGGGCACCATCTTCTGGGATGAGGTACCATATAGTGTTGTGGAAGTTCACCGATGATTCGGAGGAATGTACTATCTCCATTTTCAGAGTCGAAGAGTAAAGGTGTGTTCATATTTTACATAGCATCACCCGCAAGGAACGGACCATCAGCGGACCGACAGCTTGGTCGTGCATTTATACTGACCTACAAATATTGGACATCACAGTCTATTGTGTTTAAAAGTCTTTTCTGCTTGCAAAATCCAGTGTGTGCAGCCGTGATGAAAACATAAAAACGGTAGCTTAATGAGCTTTACGAACTGCCACTGCACCTGCATATGACAACTATATAGCAGTTCTTTTATCTTTCTGTACTTATGCGATACTTCAGAAGTCTGTTTCGTGTTCTCATTTGTAGTTTATAATTGGGACGGTGAACTGTAAAGCTGAGTAGTAGGGTTTTGTGTACGGTACTTATGTAGATCGCGCAAAAGAAGGTTTCGTCGTAAGTTTCCTAGTGCTCGAGTTCCAGCTTTATCAATGATTCCCGAATTGGTGAAGAAAGTGCGTTAAACTGGGCCTTCCTGCGTCAAGAAATACGTTCGACATAATGATGTGCTAACAGAGGAAACGTTTCACGAAATGGAAGCAAAATTAGAATATTCGTATCAAAAATCCCTGACGGGATTGGCTCAGTAGGCAGAGGTTTCGATGATATTTGCTTTCAGAGCGACCAGAAAGTTAAGTATACTGCGGTATGAAATCAGACAGGTTTCACCAACCGAAGAGGGCGACTACGAAGGAAGAACGAACGTTTGCCGCCATTATTTTCATGCAGTACATGACGGTATTCTGGACCGAAGACTTACACTTCTTTAACTAACGGAGCTTGGTTTCATCCCAATGGGAATATCAATGCTCAAAATAATATGAATTTGAGCAGTATTGATTTCAGACGGACTTTTCAGAAGACAGGTGAATGATGATCCATTACACTCTACGACGAATTAATGGACTCTGAGACTAAGTTTCATCAGTATTTACAAATTAGGAAGCGCCAATAAGGTTTTTATTAACGAGAATTCAAGATTTTCTGACCAGACAGAATATTTCCACTATCCTAAAATTAATAATTCAGAAAAAATGTAAATACCAACTATTTGTAAGACAAATTTATATCAAAAGAGCTGCCTAAATCTCCTGGGAAGACTGGATAGAAGCCACCGGGCCAAACTAGTTTTTCAGTATCAACCTCGGGGACGACGCGATGCTGAAAGGTCCAGGATAAGATGACAAGTTCAAGAACACCGCGAGCTTTAAAGGAACATGTGTTAAGGCTTAACCCTTGTTTATTTTCACGAAGGAGAAAAAGAAGAAGCCATTTGGAGTCTACGAGAATAGGCCATGTAGAAGAGACTGTTATTTCATAAGCAATAGGATATACAACTTTACTTTGGAATACCAGTGCTACAGATTGGCAAAATTTAACTAAACTCGTTTGAACCATTTTGAGAAAAAATACTTCTTGATTCATTCCCGGCCGGGGGCCCGTTGTTGGAAACCCCTTGTGTTTGCCCAGTTCTGTATCCTGATTAAATTATTTCGAAACAATATAAACACATAGGTTTAAGCTGTAGAGAAAGAACGGTTGCACCCAATGTTTCCTTTTCTCCTGTATTCTCATCTTACACCGTTTGGACCACCACCATATCATTACAGGAATAATATTATTATCTGACATTGCAGAAAAGTGCACGAAATTGGCGGGCAAACACACCCACTTGAGATGTGAGCAACTAATCGTTCGTAAGTTTCCTCAGTGTGCACCTGCTAATTTGGAAACCAGTTGCCTACTTGAAATTGGCGAGATTTCTCGGAAATCGCGGTTGCGTTGCGTTTGCCAGTTTCCTTTGTGTGCGCCCGGCCTAACATGTGTTCAACTCAGGCTGATAACAGTTGTCAGATATCGCGGTTGCGTAGCGGCTGTTAGTATCTAGGGGTTAGCCAGGTCTAAAACTCTGCCTAACCAATTGACGCTCACAGACCTCACAGATCACCGTATTTTTGCGCTTGACTACCGCAGCCATCGCAGTCGATCGCAGTTGACTAAATTACAGCACTGATTATGGAAAGCAAGAAGAGTTTCTAAGCACATATTACTAAATGCACTCGTACACCTCGTACATTTACTGAATCTTGGTTGACGGATGCTATATGTTCATGGGGATTTGTTCCAGATCAGTTACCGCACATTGCTTTTGGAATTTCCACTCACGAACGTCCTGAATGTCCTTAAGGTCTTGAATGATCGTGAACAACACTGTGCTATCCAGTGCTGACTGGTTAAAGAGCAAGATGTATGTTTGACACTCAGAGTCGTTTCGCTGTTTATCTAATTTTGTCTTCTTTATCTGTCATCATTAATCAGTAATCAATTGATTCATGTTTATAAGGTGAATGTTACATCTCAGAGAAACCCAGTCGTTTACAAGAGTGGCATAGGAGTACAAATCAAATGTAATAGAAGAACAGTTAAGTTTAAGAAATGAACTGTCGAGGAAACGATGAAGGTAGGTATCTAATTTTTACTTAACTTATCATATTATAGGAAAATAAAAAGTTGTGTAACTGTTAACGAAATTTATATATGGTAGGAAATGGCATGTAGAGTATTTTCATGACTCATAGTATGTGGTTAATTATTGGGCCCATAAGCAAAGGTTTGTCATTAGAAACTTTAATGGCCGTATAAGATTTAGCATTCTTTTGTGACATGATTAAGTTTGAGATGTGTCTTTATGCAATAAGCTTACAGCAGAGTGCACTACACAGTTATGGCATAGATGCTTCTGTTCTAGATAGCCCCAACCATGAGCAAGGCTCTCCACATAAACATGTTTGGAATCCAAACTGTAAGTATATCTCTTTTTTTATTGTGTACCACTATGTTATTGATATTGCATGCAACTGATTACATTTTCGTTTTCAGTGTATCGCCTCCAGCAGGAAGCGCCACGTCCCAAGCCAGTTTCATGTAAGCACCATATTACAAATTCTCCATCATATTATGGTAAAGAATTTCATGGTGTAATATCGCATCTTGATGCATCAGCCATTTTAGAGGAAGATGGTGCTTATCTGGTTCGGCAGAGTGAAGGGAGCAATGGGTTTCATACTTTAACACTCAGGTATGAGGTAATTTAGAATTACAGTAATATCTTAGATTACATGAGGAATGTATTTTGTATAAAGTTTGGGTAAGATGAATTCATGAAATGGGTATACAGTTTTACTTTAATAAGTGTGAACTGGGGGGTGTTAAGTCATTTGTAAGCTGTCTCTCTGTTCAGGTACCAGTATGAACCATGTCTCACAGGTCAATTGTTAAATGGCCATTGGTCAAGGTGTTTTATGGTACATTCACTGACAGCAGTGCATTATTACACAATTGTAAATTTCTTTTGTATTGCTGGAAACAGTAACAGTGTATGCTTTAAGTTGCCAGAACAGTTTCTTCTTTTGAGTTCTAAAAGCTGATCGACTCATACATATGTTCTGTTAAAACAGTCCCAGAGAAAAATACCATGGTGTGATTTCAGATTATTTATTTATTTATTTATTTCGTCTCTATAGATCATTGTTACATGATATAGTACAAGTCAGTGACTGTACATTGGCTGATTATAATAAGAGAATAAAGTTACAATACTTAAAATTGTTTACAGTAGATTACGGTAGATTACAATAGTTAAGATTTCATATAGTGTGATGTGGAATACATATTAGGTCCCCTCGGCACGTCAGCTTCCATATGTCCTATTGTACCTGTACTGGAGATAATGCTTATGGAGAATTTGATGGAATGAGGATTGGCAGGGGAAACCGAAGTATTTGGGGAAAACCTGCCCCAGCGCCACTTTGTCCATCACAAATCCCACTTGACTAGACCGCAGCGGTGGGAAGCCAGTGACTAACCGCTTAAGCTATGGTGCGGCCTTTGAGATAATATTGGTGAATTTGGTGATAGCACTGGTATAATGCTTCACTGTAGACTACACTGCAATATCTCATTACATCTGTTCTCCCTTCCTGGTGCAGCTTCTTGGCATCTGCAGTCTCTCCAGAATAGCCCATTCAGGTATATCTCCGACTGTGTTATCTTGGTTGCTGGAAGAAAGAAAGGAAAACTGCTCAGTAGGGATTCCCAAAACCGATTATTTATGAATTATGTGATTACAATTGATTAGTGTTTGTCTCACACGAGAGAAACTCATCCACTTTATAAAAACAATGATCGAGTAGGTAAGTTTTCAAAGCGCTTTTGAACTTATATAGTACCAGTATTTCTTTAATATATCGTGGCAGATGATTTAGCAGTCGAAGTCCTACATTGTTAAAGTTGTTCTTGAATAGACTTGTATTACATGGGACGATGTGCAAGTCATCTTTTTTCCTTGTGTTGTATGAGTGTAATCCTGAGTTGGTTGTGAAATCATTCAAATTGGATTTTATATATATTAGAGTTTCGTATATGCACAAAGATGGTAGAGGCAATATATGTAATGATTTGAAAATTTGTTTACAACTAGTCGTTTTTGGGACCTGGGTCACAGCTCTTATAGCTCTCTTCTGTAATTTAAAGATCAATTTTGCATTTACCGAGTTGCCCCAGAATATCAGTCCATATGGTGATAAAGATTGGAAATGAGCATGATATAACGTGTGGACAGTCTCTAGTCCAGTTACTCTTCTAACTACCCTTATTGTTTCATTTGTTTTCCTTTGAATTTCATTATAATTATCTTATGACATTCCTGGATTTAAAGTGGCGTTAAAGAAGTTTCTTATCACCAGTTCTTTTTATACTGTTGAAGAATACTACTGGTGGAATAAAGATTGATACCTCATGTATATATAGTAAACACTGTTGCCTATTGGTAGGATGCAACAGAATATGGAATAAAATACTCAGGAAAAAGGTGCTATCACTGTTGTAATATAGGTGTATCATATATTAAGAAAATAGATTTTATATTACTATATTAAGAGTCTTGACGGTCTTTTAATCATGTATGTAATTTTAAATGTTATTTTGATATATGAATGTATTGTTGTACAATAGTTTTGTTGTATTGAGTATTTAAATTTTAACGATGATGACTGTCTGATTATGTATGTATATTTATATGTTATATTGTATTATTGACTTGTTCTATATCTGAGGCAGATGCCTCTATGGATTTTTTGGAACTATAAATAAATGACAAATGACCATTTCCTGCTATAAAAATGGTAGTATCATCGCCAAAGAACGTAGGTTTCCCATGTTCGATGCTGGCCACCAGGTCGTTTATGTATAACAGAAACAACACTGGTCCCAGAATGGAACCTTGTGGGACGCCATAGCTGATGGGTCTATTTTGGGATAGGTAATTAATGTTAAAATTAGTTTTTTTGCATCTGTATGTAATTTCTACCACTTGTTCTCTATTTTCTAAGTATGTTTGGAACCACCTTAGTGTAACCCCTCGTATTCCCATTCTATCCATCTTACTTAGCAATACATCATGATCTACTAGGTCAAACGCTTTTGATAAATCCAAAAATATCCCTATACTTGTTTCTTTTCATCTAGTGCTTTGTAAACTGTTTTTGTAAATTCTGTGTTTGCTGTATGTATTGATTTTCCTTTGCAGAATCCATGCTCTTTATTGTTGATTATGCTGTACTTATTTGTGAATGATAAAAGTCTATTGTGCATAATTTTTTCGATTATTTTAGAAAAAACCGAAATTAATGACACTGGCCTGTAGTTCCCAACATCTGCAACCTTTCTTGTACAAGGGTTTCACTTTTGCTATTTTTAATTGGTCGGGGAAATAACCAGATGAAAATGACAGATTTATAATGTATGTTAGAGCATTTACTAGTTGAGGATGACATTTTTTAATAATGAACTCTGGAATATCGTCAATGCCCGTTGATTTTTTTTCACCCAGTGTTTTAATTATGCCGATTATAAAGGGGGCTGTTTCCATCTAACTTGTTCATCCTATCCAGTCATCAGTTTCTGTGCGGGTGCCATAGTATGTCAGTTGATATATAAATAGCAGTATGCAGTAGCACCCTTAACATAGAGGTGCCTTAAGTCACACACCAAAGGAAAAATTATGAATTACAGTTTATATTTGTTTTATATACATATATATATGGGGCACTTGGTAGTGTAGTTGGTTGAGGCACTATGCTATAAGTTGGAAGGTAGTGGGTTTGATTCCCGATGCTAACTGGATTTTTCAATTGACCTAATCCTTCCAGCTGCACTATGGCCCTGTGGTCGATTCAGCCTCAAAGAGAAATGATTACCAGGAATCTTCCTGGGGCTAAAGGTCGCCTGCTAGCACGTAAGGCTGATAACCTCACTGCCATCTGTGAACCAATTGTCTAGAAGAGGGAGGAGCCTCGATGTCTGATAGTTCTGTGGTCCTCCATGGCCTGTTACAGGAATAGCTTTAACTTTCTTTACGTTTTTCATTCATAATATATACACTAAATTACAGCTAATTCTCAAATATGCCATCATCTACTTCCAAAACACTTGTTTAACCATTAGTTAATGTCATTTCAGTGGTACTGACTCATTCAGATATGATTTTCCGTTTTAGTTATGCATTAGTTTTTGGATGATGGTACACAGTGAATTTCATGTGTTTTGAAAGGAACACATAGAGAGACATGAGGTACATATATTACAGTGATCATGTGATTAATTCTAATTATTCAGAATATTTATTAAAAAAGTTATATTAGAATTATGGGATCCAAAGTCAGAGTGCACCATCCTGCTAGAAGAAAAGTTGTGCACGTCACTAACACGTCATTGGCAAGTAAAGACATTAGGAATATCTTGAGCATAGCCAAATATGTTTGTCCTGTGACATAACTGGCAGAAAAATAGAATATATACTTCTCCCATCTCCCTGCTTACACCATCATTTTTTGATCATTTTGAACACTGACTTGCCCATGCCATTGGACAGTGGTAACAGTTATGTCTGTTTACGCTGTACATTTATCACAGAGCAAGAACCATATCCTACTCTTCACGTCAGTCACCATGCAGATCCAAGTTGAAATGATGATGACAGCGCAGTGGACACTAGTGGAACAGACTTCTGATTTCTTATGACATACGCCATATAAATTTCTTTGGACAGATGCCGCAGTTACTTAATCATTTTCATTTTTCAGCCTGCTGGTATGAGGGGTTATTGGGTATTTCTAGTTTCTCTGTAATGGTAAGTATGTTTGTGGTGGCTGTGCAGAATACTTGCCTGCCTGTATATAGTAGATCAGATTTATTTCCTACAGATATAATTGATATATTTTCCTGTCCATAAATCTGTACTGGAGCTGGGATAGTGTAGTTGGTATAGCGACTGGCTATAGGCTGGATGACCAAGGTGTTGGAGTTTGAGTCGTAGTAGGGTCAAGAATTTTCTCATCTCCAAGTTGTCCAGACTGGCTCTGGGGTTCACCCAACCTCCTATGCAATGGGTACCAGGGACTCTTTCCCCAGGATTAAAGCGGCCAGGGCGTGAAGGTGACCACTCACCTCCAGTCAGTGCTGAGGTCAAGAAACTGTGGATCTATACATCCACTCTCTCATACACCTTCATGGCATAGTGCTTAATTCATTAAGCACAGGAACAACTTTACCTTTTTTACATCTATATTAAGCAGTTGGCATCATCTTAGAGAACAGCTCTGTGCAGCACTTGGATGGAGCCGGTACTGGTTTATAGAATTATCCCATCATCTCAGTATGTAATTTCAGCTTCTCAGAGATGACATTGATATTCAGATTTTAGCCATTTCCTGGAAAATCAGCAACACTCTTCTGCAATACTAGTATCCATGGTGTCTCTTTGTGGCATTTTTTCAGAACATGTTGATTTTTTTTCCAGAAATAGTCCCAGCCTCAATGTATTTTTCTGTATCAAGAAACTTCAACCCAGATGGATTAATATGTACATAGTAAAATTAATGTGAACCACGTAGTTACAAAAAGGAGATAATTTATGTATTAAATGCCATTCTGATTCCTGGGTTTTCTGTCTTTTAACAGGTTTGATAGGAAGATTAAACACTACAAACTTTATTTTGATGGGCAGCATTATGTTAGAGACAAACGTTTTGACTCTTTGTACGAGCTTGTGGCCGATGGACTTGTTACTCTTTATATGGAAGCAAATGCAGGACCATATATTGAACTGATGAATAATTTCAATAATTATGAGAAGAGTCCCTATATGACACTTAACAAACTGAAACGAAGAGCTGTGATTATCCAGGCTAGCAGAGGAACTGATATCTCTGTGGCAACAGATTCGTTCCTTCATAAGGAACAAAAGCACTCAGAAATCTCAGGGTTTCAAACAAAAGACCCAGCCATTACAGAATCTGTTATTGGTGAAGGATTTATCTCTGAGACAGTGGATTATGATAAACCACATGCCTTCAAAATACATACGTTTAAGGGTCTGAATTGGTGTGAATTCTGTGGAAATTTCCTGTGGGGGTTTACTGCCCAAGGAGTCAAATGTGAAGGTATTTATTCATGTATACAAGTCTCATTCTTTTGCAGTATGGAACTTCAAATACTAATGACTTTATCAGCAACTTCTCAAGTCAGCATCTCAGAAATAATTCTAATGACCATAAAAATGCAATGGAGCTGGGTTAGCATAGTCAGTATAGACTGGCTACGGGCTGGACGACTGAGGTGTCGGAGTTCGAGTCCCAGTAGGGTCAAGAATTTTCTCTTCTCACAATTGTCCAGACTGATGGGTCCACCTAACCTATCCAGTGGGTAACGTGAGCTCCTTCCCTGGGGATAAAGTGGCCGGGGGGTGAAGCTGACCACTCACCTCCAGCCAGTGCCTAGGTCAAGAAAATGTGGATCTGTACATCCACTCCCCCGTACGCCTTCATGACGTGGTGCTTAATTTGTTGAGCATAGGGACAACTTCACCTTTCCTGTGAGTCAACCGTCTAAATAATGTGGGACCTTTGACATCTCACAACCCTATGGGCCTTCACGGCCTGTTATAGGGATAGCTTTACTTTTTTCACCTTTACCTGTGCATTGGAGGTGTACCTGCCAAGCACTGAGAATTGAAGCCATATTATGTATATATGTGCTGTTGTGGTTTTACGCCTTTGTTCCACTGTGTTTGTGTTTAAATCTTAAAATTAATGATGAAACCATACTGAATCTGAAAACAGTAACAATATGATTTACATGATAAGCGAAACTGTCCATTGAATTTTCAGTGGGCATTACAGCGATGTATATTTGTCAGTCATAAAATTTATGGCATGAAAGGCATCACTTTGTCAATTAAAAAGAGTAATTATTTATACTGATATGTGATCATAATCAGATTTATGACATGAAATGCACTGAAAGAAAATATATAATTTTTAGTAATATCACAGGTTCCGTAGGTTTGTAAAATACAATTTCATATTCTGGTCTCTTGGCTGATTTCTAATGCTGCCCTTTTGACAAATGTCTTATTCCTGATAACAAGGAACTTAAATATTTGAAAACAGAGTGGGAGGGAAGATTTCTGCACCAAAGGAGTTATGCGAGTGGGGGAAGTATAAAAATAATTCATAAAGATCTTGGAGATTCATATTACTCTTCTAGTACTGTTGTTCTAATTAAATGAGAGTGCTATCTTCTGGGATGTGAATCCATGTAGTGTTCCATGTTCCAGGGAATGTACTGCCTCCATCTTCAGTGTCAGATTAGTACAACCAAGCAGGCATCAAGCCTGTTTGACCTACTCTTAAATTTTGAAGATGGAGGGAGTATGTTCTTCCAAATGTCAGTAAACTTCTACCAGACTCTGTGGATCACATCCCACATCTCTTCAGTTATCCTGTCAGGACCTCAGATCCAATATAAATTAAAGAAATTAAGATGAGTTGATCATGTTTTCGTATTACCACATAAAACATTTTTTGTGAGGATGACACCTATAAGTAAACCACTTTTGGAGAGTTAGGCAAGAGGATGATATTAAAATGGATCATAGGGAAGTAGTTTTGCTAATAATGATATTGGTGAGTTAAATTTAACTGCGAGTAAAGGCTAAGGCTTTTGCATTACTGCTAAATATTTTGAGTTTCAATATCCCATTTACAACTGGTACAAATGACTAATTATTCTATGTCTGTATATACGAGGTTTGTACTGAAAGTCATGAGCAACAATTTTTTGTAAAGTAACATGCTTTATTATTGATGAACCAAATACACCTTATTGCGCAGTGCACGATGGAGCTCGTGCAGCATCTGGACATAATGAGCAGCATTGATGGTTTGCCCAGGTTCCAGGAATTCAGCCAGAATAAACCCCTCTGCATCCCAGAAGACTGTGCCCGTCACCTTCGCAGCTGATGGCACTGTCTTTGCCTTCTTTTTTGGTGGAGAATGCAAATGGTGCCATTCCATTCCATTAATACATCCATACTCTGCTGTTTCGTTTCAGGCTTGAAATGGCGAAACCAGCTTTCGTCACCTGTCACAATACAGAGCAAAAAATCATTGCCTTCGTGTCGATATTTCTGCAGCAGTTCTGAGGTGATGGCTTTTTGCTGACCTTTGTGGTCTTCGGTCAATAACCGCAGGACCCAACGAGCACAAACTTCCCTATAGCCCAAGCTTACAATCATCTCCTATACTGCGCTGTGCCCTATTCCAAGTTTTCAGACTATTGTGTCTGCAGTCACGCCTGTCATCTTGAATGATCTCATCCACTCTTTCCTTGTTGCGTTCAGTTGAGGCTGTTCGAGGATGACCGCTCTGAGGCTCATCTTCAATGCTGGTGTTCCCGTCTTTAAAATGTGTCACCCATCTTCGAACACTGCTCGCACCCATACACACACTTCCATAAGCATGCAGAAGTCTCTGGTGAATTTCTGCAGCAGGGATTTCCTCTTTCACAAGAAATTGGATGACAGCACGCTGGCGAAACGACATATCATTGGCCATTTTGTTAGGAGTGATACTGGTCACGTGATGCAAGCTATTGACGTCACAAGACACTCAAGGTTAACACAACAGCTGGTTCCAACTACCACCATACTCTCTTTCGTCTGCTGTTCCCAGGTTGCATGCAAAAAAAAAGTTGCTCATGACTTTCGGTACGACCGTTGTAATTGTAATACATCACTTTACAATGATGCAGAATGCAGTGAAACCAATAATTCTATTAAAGAAATTCATTTTAGATAGAGATCATTTAACTAATTGAGTTTTCACATAAAATCTGACAAGAATTTGAAATATTTAAAATATCCAAATTATCTTCAATCAGAAATGAAGGTTCAATTCCCAGTAGAGGCAAGAGACTTTTTCTTCTCTACAGGGTCTGGAACAGCTTCTCCAGTAGGTGCCATTGTGGATCCCCAGAGGGTAAAGAGGTCCAGGTATTAAGGCAGCCCCTCACCTCTGTTCAGTGCAGCAGTTAATGCGTGGAGCTATACCTTCACTTCCCAATACCATCTTCATGGCATGAGGCTTAATTAAGCACAGTGAAAGACTATATGTTTTGTTAGAATTCAGTTTCAAATACCAGGTATAATATTGGTTCCAGATTGCGGTTTTAGTGCACACAGCAAATGTTCAGAAAAAGTGCCCTGTGACTGCTGTCCCGACTTGAAACAACTGCGTGGGGTATTTGGAATTGACCTTACCACACTGGTAAAGGCTCATCGGACAGCTCGTCCATTTGTGGTAGATAAGTGTATCAGTGAAATAGAGAGGCGAGGACTGGATGCAGAGGGGTTGTACAGAGTGTCTGGATTTGCAGAAGAAATAGAAACTCTCAAACTCGCACTGGACAAAGGTAATTTTCATAAAACAGTCATTTCAATTAAAGTGGAAAAACCTGATCCATCCTTTGATAAGAACTGTACAGACTACATGTTGCTGAGGTTATTTTAAAGACTTGATGCATTTGACATGGATACAGTGGTTACTTCATTTTTGATTGCTAAGGAGAAATATTTGCATCTTACAGATGGTGAGCAGGCAGATATGAGCCCAGAAGTGTATGATAACATTAATGTGATCGCTGGCACATTGAAACTATACTTAAGATTGCTTCCTATTCCACTTGTGACATTCGAGACTCATCCAGCTCTCATTAAAGCTGCTCGTAAGTTGATGTCCTACCTTTGAAGAAACTTAGAAGCTCACGCTTTACTGTATATTGCCTTTTTAGGCATCTTTTACATACACCTTAGGACAGAATGTCTGTGACTTTCAGAGTAAAACATTATGGACTGAAGGCAAGATTTTTATCCTAATATTTTGTTTAGGTCTGTTGAAATTCACTCAGATGCTGGATCACTACTCGCTTAATCCTTCTAATAGAGTTCTGTGGAAGCCAGACAGCTCTGTTACTGTAATATCTAGGCTACAGGCTACACAGTGGGATTTGGGTTTCAGTTTGCACTGCTGGGACCCCACGAAGTGGTAACTGGGGACATTTTTCCCCAGGGGTAAAATGCCTGGGGTGTGAAGCTGACCACTCAACCTCTGTCAAGTTCTGAGATAAGAAATTTGTGGAGCTATAGCTACTCACCTCCATACATCATTATGATGGAAAAATCCAGGATTCAGTAGTATTGAAACTTACAAAGCTAGCACAAATACATGACTTTTGAGTGTTCCAGTAATTCACAAGTCCATATTGAAAAAGTGATGCGTGACTATTCCACACTTACTTTCTGGAAAACAGGAAAGGCAGAATTTCCCTAAGTTGGAAAATACAGGATCTTTATGGGACTGAGTGTTGTAGGCCAGATAGCACAAGCAGTTGCTATATGGTCATAATGTGGTTGCCTGTACACTGCTCAGTCCTGCAATAAAAGAAGAGACCCTGTTTATTAATAATTGTTATATTTTAATTTTTAAATTTGTCACTAAACGTTCATAATTTTTTAATGTTTATTTTGATGGTGAGATGACTCCATGGAGTAGAGCCTTTCTTGAGAAACTAATGCTCACTATAGTAGTCAAGAAACTGCCTGACCTTTACAGAACCTGAAGATTCATTGCTGTGTTCATGTTAACCTCTCACTGGACCCCATCCTGAGCCATATGCATCCAGTCCACACCCTTGCACCCTGTTCTTTGTAATGCATCTTAATATTATCCTTAAACCTATGCCCTATGCTATTCCATTTGACAGTGACTGGCTTAACATGCTCATACTGAGTAGACTGATTGTGAGTAATGCTTATAGACTTGTATTTAGATGTTCAGTTGCAGTCTCAGCTCGAACAGTGCATACCCTGACAGAGGTTTATCGTGGTTTTCCTCAGTTCCTACATGTGTATGCCAGAATAGTACCACTATTAGGCTGCAACAATATCCTTCCACGTCCTTTCCCATTCAACATTTGACAGTATGTAGTTTGAGAACGGACAGTATTGTAAAATTACTCACACAAAATTGGTCATTTTGTTAGTAACAGTTCATAATTTGTATGTATTTCAGAGCTGAAATCCATTCAGGAACAGATTGTAGGAATAAAAGATGCCCTGACTCTCCTTCCAGCTGCACATTATAATACACTGAAGTATCTCATGGAGCATCTGAACAGGTCAGTGGGATAATGTGATAATATCTCAACAATGCATGTGGCATCATTGCTGGCTAATAGTCATAAATTCTCCATATATCATTAAGAATCATTAATATCACAGCTCAACAAGAACTGGGATAATGTAGTCGGTATAGGGACTGGCTATACGGGCTGGACAACCGGGGTGTTGGAGTTCAAGTCCCAGTAGGGTCAAGAATTTTCTCCACGTCATCCAGACCCGCTCAGGGTCCACCCAACCTACTGTCCAATGGGTATGGGGGGCTCTTTCCCCTATGGTAAAGTGGCAAGGGTGTCAAGCTGACCACTTACCTCCAGCTAGTGACGAGGTCAAGAACACGTGGATTTATACATCTGCTCCCCCATATGCCTTCATGGTGTAGTTCCTAATTGGTTAAGCACAGGGATAACTTTACCTTTCTTACACAGCACAACAAATTTGCTCCTTCTTTTCAAAAACCTGTATGGAATAATCTCTTTTTGACTAAACAAGGTATACTGATCACAGACACGATGATCCCAAAGTTATATTATATGTTGTTTCTTTGTTTGTTTGTTTTTTTTTGTCTACTTGTATGCAGGACATGAATATATATACCACCTTTACACAATTTGAAATATTTAAATTAGATAAACTTTTATTCATTAATTTTGTATGTGTGGTTGTAATGCCGCTAAGGTTACGTAAATGTAGATATAGTTTTGGGGTAAAATTGGAATAATAGTAGTTAGACTATAAGATTAAGAAGTAGCCGTGATGAAACGAACCAGGAAGTTTAGGTCTACAAAGAATTGTAACAGAGAATGCCTGAGTCATTAGAATGCTAACCCAGCAGTGTAATAGCGCTGACATTGAGGAAGGAGCTATATGAAGTGGGTCATAAACACTATGGCAGGAGGAAAACGCTGAGTCTGAGGAGGCGGTAGACCCGAAAGAGTCAACCCCTTCTCGATGGGCAACCAATGAGGGAGGCCAAAATCACGTCAGAATGGGCAGGCAACCTACCCGGAACTCAAAGAATCAGCAAAGAGAGGTTATATAAACCCTAGAAGACTTAATCAAAAAACCTTTTGCCTTTAGACTTTTGATTGATATTAAGTAACTTAGAGTTCAGGGGAGGCTATCGCCGAGAGAGCGATGGCCGTGAGTATGCGCTGGTGGCTGATGGCGAGCATCTATTTCCTCATCTCAAGTAAGTGAAACCAACTTCATATAGCCATGAACATTAAGTGTAACAGTGATAATTGTAAAGTGTAAACCACAGG